ACACACACACACACACACACACACACACACACACACACACCACACACACACACACACACACACACACACACACACACACACACACTTTTTTTTTTTTAATTTTTTGTCTTTCTTTCTTTCTTTCTTTCTTTTTTCTTTCTTTTCTTCTCTTTTTCTTTTATGTGTGTGTTCCATCTTGTCTTTCCCTGTATCGTTCTCCAGACTCCCCTTCCCTTGTTTCATTCTCCCTACCCTTTTCGTCCCTCTCCTCTTCCTCTCTCCATGCACCCTTTCCCCCCCTGTCTCTTTCTCGTGACTTCCTCTCTCCCTCTTCTCGTTCATTCTGATGTTCCGTCCCTTCCCCGACCGGCGTTTGTGGCTATTTATCATCATTTTCTCCCTCTCCTGAAACGAAGAAAACTGGAAATATGTTTGGAAATATCCCTACATGAAGATGTTAATATTTGTACACTTTGATGGTTATATACTTTCCCTTTGTTCTAATTTCAGTGTTTGCAATTGTTTTCAAAACCTACTAACAAGAACTAACATTTTGCATGGTTGCTTTTCGATTTTTCTAAATCGCCAAACGTTTTTATTCTATTATGATTACCATCATTATTTGCCCCCCCTCCCCCATGTAGCACATTTAGAGATAATAAATAGTTGATTTTCTTTAGTTTTCCCTCTGATAAGGTTGATTGATGAAACACTAATTTTGATTTCAATATGAGTTGCCAACTGTGCGTTTATTGCCCGAGGTTAGTATTTTAAATAGATGTTGAGCAAATTTACGAAGAGGAATGGGTCATTTAGTATTCTTACCTTACACCCATGTTGTATTCTTGCGTTCCCCTGCCAGATTGGTTTATTGCTATTACACAACTTTTTGACTTACATTGATTTGTTGAATATCAATGAAGAAAGCGGGTAATTTGAAATAATTGTTGTTTAAACAGTAACCATTATTGAAGTAGTCAGGACAGTTGAGCCTGAAGGCGAATTTCTTAATGCCCACTTTCTCTGACACGGAAGACCGCATGGTAGAAAACGTAGTCCAGTAGTTAATAGGGGTAACTACCGTATCCTCATGGCCCTCTCTCACCTCCATCCATCTCTCGCCTACCTTGTCCAGCTGTCCAGAGCCGTGTCAATCATACTTGTAAGTACCTGTCTCCTTTGTCCTTTCCGGTAACTTCTTTTTTGGTTGGAATAATTTTTAACGAATATTTGCATGCAAAATTTTCCATCTTTCTTATCTAGCCATTACTGGATTGCACCTTTTCAAAACTAATGTGACTTGTTGTGATTGGTTGCTTTTCAGTGATTTTATTTCGTCCATTGTTTCATTGTTTCATCATGGCTTTTGTTAATGCACAAAGTTACATGTACATATTTCTTGTTGTTTTCTGGAACAAATATAACTATCCTTTAAAGTGCTGATAACCTCACGGTAATATGTGAAAAAATGGAAATATGGATAAGAAAATTTTTCATCATGATCTGATAAAAGTGCTCAATGGCGTGTCAAAAGTTAAAAGCAAAACGGTAGTTGTTGTAATAACGATATTGGTAATATTTATAATGATAAACGATGATAATGCTAAGAATGACAGTGCTAGTAGATGATAGAGGTCATAATGATGATGTTCATGATGATAATTATGATAGTAATAATGGTAGCAGAGATAATAATGAAAACTGCATAGTCGTAGTACTGATGATAATGAGGATACATATAATGAACATTATAATACTGACGATGACACTTCATGATGATAATAACCTACATTGGAGTAAAATAATAAATGAAAAGTGGCTGCACTGCCCGCGAAGTGCCGCCGCCGACCCTCTCTGACGCCCCTCCATTCCCTACTCCAGTACCTGAGCGGGGAGACGGGCGGCGGCGTGGGCGGCGAGGAGTGCGGCGAGGCGTGGAGCAGCGTGGTCTCGGGCGTGTGTGGCGTGGCGCTCGTCGTGGGCGCCGCCTCCGTGCTCCGGCTGCCGCGCCTGATCTACCAACACGGCGCAGGTGAGAGATGCATTCGGGGGAGAGAGGGAGGGCGGGGAAGGAAGGGAGAAGAGGGAGTGGAAGGAGGAAGAGCAGGGGAAGGTAAAAAGGGCGAGGAAGGGTGACGAGGGAGGGGAAGGGAGCAGGGGACATGAACGGGAAAAGGGTTGTGGGGCCGGGGGGCAAGGGAAAGGGAAGGGAAGATGGCTGCAGTGAGGAGGAGAAAGGGGAAAGGGAAGGGAGATGGCTCATGCAGAGTGGCTCAATGCAGGAGGAGAGAAGGGGAAAGGGAGAGGGAGAAGTGCAGGAGAGAAAGGGAAAGGGAAGGGAGATGGCTCAATGCAGGAGGGGAAAGGGAAAGGGAGATGGGCAGAGGAGAAAGGGGAAAAGGGAGATGGCTCAGTGCAGGAGGAGAAAGGGGAAAGGGAAGGGAGATGGCTCAGTGCAGGAGGAGAAAGGGGAAAGGGAAGGGAGATGGCTCAGCAGAGGAGAAAGGGGAAAGGGAAGGGAGATGGCTCAATGCAGGAGGAGAAAGGGGAAAGGGAAGGGAGATGGCTCAATGTGGGGAAGGGAGGAGATGGCTCAGTGCAGGAGGAGAAAGGGGAAAGGGAGGGAGATGGCTCAGTGCAGGAGGAGAAAGGGGAAAGGGAAGGGAGATGGCTCAGGAGGAGAAAGGGAAAGGAAGGGAGATGGCTCAGTGCAGGAGGAGAAAGGGGAAAGGGAAGGGAGATGGCTCAGTGCAGGTGGAGAAAGGGGAAAGGGAAGGGAAATGGCTCAGTGCAGGAGGAGAAAGGGGAAAGGGAAAGGGAGATGGCTCAGGTGGGAAAGGGAAGGAGATGGCTCAGGGAGGGAGAAAGGGGAAAGGGAAGGGAAGATGGCTCAATGGCAGGAGGAGATAAAGGGGAAAGGGGAAGGGATGGCTCAGTGCAGGAGGAGAAAAAGGGAAACCCAGGAGGAGAAGGGGAAAGAAGGGAGATGGCTCGCAGTGCTAGAGGAGAAAGGGGACAGGTAAGGGAGATGGCTTGCAGGAGGTGGAAAGGGGAATAAAGGGAGATGGACTCAATGGGTAGGAGAAAGGGGAAAAAGGGATGGGAGATGGCTCAGTGCAGGAGGAGAAAGGGAAAGGAAGGTGGAGCATGGCTCAGTTGCAGGAGGGAAAGGGAAAGGGACTCAATGCTCAGGGGCTGCAATGCAGAGGAGAAAGGGAAAGGGAAAGGGTGAATGGCTCAGGAGGAGGGGGAAAGGGAACAGAGTGCAGAGGAGAAAGGGAAAGGGTAAGATGGCAGTGCATGGCTGGCATGGAGGAGAAAGGGAAAGGGAAGGGAGATGGAGTGAGCAGGCTGGCTCAATGCAGGAGGAGAAAGGGGAAAGGGAAGGGAGATGGCTCAGTGCAGGAGAGAAAGGGGAAGGGAAGGGAGATGGCTCAGTTGCAGGAGGAGAAAGGGAAAGGGAAGGGAGATGGCTCAATGCAGGGAGAAGGGGAAAAGGAAGGGAGATGCTCATGCAGGAGGAGAAAAGGGGAAAGGGAAGGGAAGATGGCTCAGTGCAGGAGGAGAAAGGGGAAAGGGAAGGGATGATTGGGAAGGGAGATGGCTCAATGCAAGGAGGAGAAAGGGAAAGCGGACAGGGAGATGGCTCAATGCAGGAGGAGAAAGGGAAAGGGAAGGGAGATGGCTCAGTGCAGGAGTGAAAGGGGGAAAGGGAAGGGAGATGGCTCAGTGCAGGGAGGAGAAAGGGGAAAGGGAAGGGAGATGGCTCGTGCAGGAGGAGATGGGAAAGGGAAAGGGCAGGAGGAGAAAGGGGAAAGGGAAGAAAGCTCAGTGCAGGAGGAGAAGGGGAAAGGGAAGGGAGATGGCTCGTGCAGGAGGAGAAGGGGAAAGGGAAGGGATGAGTGCAACGGACGGAGAAAGGGGAAAAGGGAAGGGCACGTGGCTCAGTGTGGCAGGAGGGAGAAAAGGGGAATTTGCGGAAGGGGAGATTGCTCAATGCAGGAGGAGAAAGGGGAAACCGGGAAGGGAGATTGGAAGCAGGAGGAGAAGGGGAAAGGGAATGGGAGATGGCTCAGTGCAGGGGAGAAAAGGGGAAATGGGAAGGGATATGGCTCAATGCAGGCAGGTGAAAGGGAAGGGAAGGGAGATGGCTCATGCAGAGAGTGGGGAAAGGGAAGGAGATGGCTCAGTGCAGGAGGAGAAAGGGGAAAGGGAATGGAGATGGCTCAGTGCAGGAGGAGAAGGAGGGGAAAGGGAAGGAGATGGCTCAGTGCAGGAGGAGAAAGGGGAAAGGTAAGGGAGATGGCTCAGTCTGCAAGGAGGAGAAAGGGGAAAGGGAAGGACGATGTTCAATGCACTTGCTCAGTTGGGGAGGTGGGAGAAAGGGGAGAAATGGGGGAAGGGAGATGTGCTCAATGCAGGAGGAGAAAAGGGGAAAGGGGGAAGGGAGATGGCTCAGTGCAAGCTGGAGGAGAAGTAGGTGAAGGGAAGAGATGGTCAGTGCAGGAGGAAGAAGGGGAAAGGGAAGGGAGATGGCTCACAGTGCTAGGAGGAGAAAGGGGAAAGGGAAGGGAGATGGCTCAGTGGCAGGGAAGGGGGAAGGAAGGAGATGGGCAGGAGGAGAAAGGGGAAATGGGCTCAAGTGGCAGGAGAAAAGGGGAAGGGAGGGAGATGGCTCAATGCAGGGAGTAAGGGAAGGGAACGCGGATTGGCTCAATGCAGGAGGAGAAAGGGGAAAGGGAAGGAGATGGCTCAATGCAGGAGACGGAGGAAAGGGAAGGGAAAGGGAGAGAAAGGGAAGGGAAGGGAGATGGCTCAATGCAAGGAGGAAAGAAGGGAAAGGGAAGGGAGAAGGCCTCAATGCAGGAGGAGAAGGGGAAGGTAGGAAGGGGAGATGGCTCAGTGCAGGAGGAGAAAGGAAGGGAAGGGAGATTGGCTCAGTGCAGGAGGAGAAAGGGAAAGGGAAGGGAGATGGCTCAGCCTCGGCAGGAGGAAAAAAGGTGGCCAAGGGAAGGGAGGATGGCTCTCATGCAGGAGGAGAAAGGGGGAAGGCAGGGAGATGGCTCAATGCAGGAGGTTGGAGGAGGAGAGCGGGAAAAGGGAAGGGAGATTTGCTCAATGCAGGAGGAGAAAGGGAGAAAGGGCCCAAGGGAGATGGGCTCAATGCAGGAGGAAAAAGGGGAAAGGAAGGGAGAGGCTCAGTGCCAGGAGGAGAAAGGAGGGGAAAGTGGAAAGGGAAAGGGAAGGGAGATGGCTCAGTGCAGGAGGAGAAAGGGGAAAGGGAGGGAGATGCTCAGTGCAGGAGGAGAAACGGGGACAAGGGAAGGGAGATTTGGGCTTCCAGTGCAAGGAGAGAGAATAGGGGAAAGGGAAAGGGAGATGGCTCAGTGCAGGAGGAGAAAGGGGAAAGGGAAGGGAGATGGCTCAGTGCAGGAGGAGAAAGGGGAAGGGAAGGGAGATGGCTCAGTGCAGGAGGAGAAAGGGAAAGGGAAGGGAAGATGGCTCAGTCAGCATGGAGAGGGAAAGGGAAGGCGAGATGGCTCATGTCAGGAGGAGAAAGGGGAAAGGGAAGGGAGATGGCTCAATGCAGGAGGAGAATGGCTCAGGCAGGAAGGGAAGGGAGAATGGCTCATGCAGGAGAGAAAGGGGAAGGGAAGGGAGATGGCATCAGTGCAGGAGAGAAAGGGAAAGGAAGGGAGATGGCTCAGTGCAGGAGGAGAAAGGGGAAAGGGGAAGGGAGATGGCTCAGTGCTAGGAGGAGAAAGGGAAAAGGGGAAGGGAGATGGCTCAGTGCAGGATGGATGAAAGGGGAAAGGGAAGGGAGATGGCTTCACAGGTGTGCAGGAGGAGAAAAGGGGAAAGGGAAGGGAGAATGGCTCAGTGCAGGAGGAGAAAGGGGAAAGGGAAGGGAGATGGCTCAATGCAGGAGGAGAAAGGGGAAAGGGAAGGGAGATGGCTCACTGCAGGAGGAGAAAGGGGAAAGGGAAGGGGAGATGGCTCAGTGCAGGAGGGAGAAAGGGGAAAGGGAAGGGAGATGGCTCAATGCAGAGGGAGAAAGGGGAAAGGAGGGAGATGGCTCAGTGCAGGAGGAGAAAGGGAAAGGGAAGGGAGATTGGCTCAATGCCAGGAGGAGAAAGGGGAAAAGGGAAGGGAGATGGCTCAGTGCAGGAAGGAGAAAGGGAAAGGGAAGGGAGATGGCTCAATGCAAGGAGGAGAAAGGGGAAAAGGAAGGGAGGGAGATGGCTCAGTGCAGGAGGAGGAAAGGGAAGGGAAATTGGAAGGTGGGCTCAGTGCAGGAGGAGAAAGGGGAAAGGGAAGGGAGATGGCTCACAGGCAGGAGAGTGGTAAAGGGAAGGGAGATGGCTCAATGCGGAGGAGAAGGGGAAAGGAGAAGGGAGATGGCTCCAGTGCAGAGGAGAAAGGGGAAAGGGAAGGGAGATGCTCATGCAGGAGAGAAGAAAAGGGAAAGGGAAGGGAGATGGCTCAGTGCAGATGGAGAGTGGCTCAGTGCAGGAGGAGAAAGGGGAAAGGGAAGGAGAGATGGCTCATGTGCAGAGGAGAAAGGGGAAAAGGGAAGGGAGATGGCTCAGTGCAGGGAAAAGGGAAAGGGAGGGAGATGGCTCAGGGCAGAGGAGAAAGGGGAAGGGAAGGGAGATGGCTTGCAGGAGGAGAAAGGGGAAGGGGGGGAAGGGAGATGGCCTCAGTGCAGGAGGGAAAAGGGAAAAGGTAAGGCAAGGGAAGGGAAAAGAAAATATAGGGAGGAGAAAATGTTACGTCTGTGTTTTTCGTTCTTTTTCGTGACTTTATAAAATAATTTATTTTCATTGGATATTTATTAACCTACAATTTTGCCTATGGACCTTACAGGGAGTTTCCTAGCTGCTTGGTGCGCGGCGCTGCTGCTGGTGGCCTCGCCGCTGGCCTACCTGGAGGCCGGCCTCTCGCAGTTCAGCAGCTCGTCGGCGCTGGCGGTGTGGCGCCTCATCCCCATCGCCAGAGGTGAGAGCGCCGCCCGAGTAGCGCGCGGAACACACATGGCCGTCGTGATATGTAGAGTGAAATGCCAACGCTGGAGTGTGTAACAGGTCTGCTGATTCCGTTGCAGGTGTTGGCTGGTCGACAGTGGTGGTGTGTTTCTACTGGGCGGCGGTCGTGCTGGGATACCTGGCGCCCGCATTGCATTATGTCCTGCTGGTGATTCAGCCAGAGATCTTGGAGGTCTGTGTTGTTTGGGGGGAAGAGTTCTGAACTCACTCACTCAGACATTTTGTATTTATGTATATAATCTTTTTCAAGAATATATTTTGGTACATTTATAGAAATATGCAATTTGTAGGGAAAAAAAACTTGACTGTCGGGAGGCTTATTTCTCCAAAATATTGATTTCAGGGTGTGGTGTCGCCACAGTGCAGTGAGAGCACCCAAAATTCCAGTAGTGGGGACTGGGCTGTGGATTACTATAGGTAAAATTCAATTGACAAAACCAGTGATTCGTCACAAATTTTGTGCTGTTCCGAATGGCTCATTAATATGTACTCTTTATGAAATGTATTCCAAAGCCACAATATGCATTCCAAATATATCTTTTGTGTTCAGTATCGTAAGATAATTTACGATGATGAGTGATTTTGGTGTTTATTCAGAATTACCCTCAATCTTTCAGAGTGTGTGTGTATGACCTGCCAGAAACCTGGGATAGCAACTTCACCCTGGATCTGACCTGGCCCTTACCTGTTGCCGTTGGTGCTGCAGCCCTCGTGTCGGCAATCATGTTAGTTTCCAGATTAACAGATGATAGATAGGGCTCTCCAGGGATGGAGATCGTAATGCATGAATGGAGGCAAAGACACAGGACACTGAAAGTACACTCTGTTCTGTTGGAGTATGTCCTTACCGAATTCACTTACAACATTGGCTATATGTCAAATTGACATAACGTGTAAACATGTATATATGTATGTATGTATGTATATGTGTGTGTATATATATATATATATATATATATATATATATATATATAGAGAGAGAGAGAGAGAGAGAGAGAGAGAGAGAGAGAGAGAGAGAGAGAGAGAGAGAGAGAGAGAGAGAGAGAGAGAGAGAGAGAGAGAGAGAAAGAAAAGAAAGGAAGAGAAAGAGAAAGAGAAAGAGAGAGAAAAAGAGAGAGAGAGAGAGAAAAAGGGAGAGAAAAAGAAAAAGAAAGAGAGAAAAAAAAGAGAGAGAAAAAGTGACAGAGAGAGAGAAGGAGAGAGAGAGAGAGAGAGTGAGAGAAGGAGACAGAGAGAGAGAGAGAAAGAAGGAGAGAGAGAGAGAAGGAGAGAGAGAGGAGAGAGAGAGAGAGAGAGAGTGAGAGAATGAGAATGAGAGCGAGAGTGAGAGAATGAGAATGAGAGAGAGAGAGTGAGAGAAGGAGAAGGAGAGAGAGAGAGGGAGAGAAGGAGAAGGCGAGGGAGAGTGAGAGAAGGAGAGAGGAGAGAGAGAGTGAGAGAAGGAGAAGGAGAGAGAGAGTGAGAGAAAGAGAGAGAGAGAGAGAGTGAGAGAGGAGAAAGGAGAGAGAGAGAGAGAGAAGAGAAGGAGAGAGAGAGAGAGGAGAGAGAGAGAGAGAGAGAAAGGAGAAGGAGAGAGAGTGGAGAGAAGGAAGAAGGAGAGAGAAGTGAGAGAAGGAGAGGAGAGAGAGAGAGTGAGAGAAGGAGAAGGAGAGAGAGAGTGAGAGAAGGAGAAGGAAGAGA